CCATAACTGCCCAGGCTTCCTAACTGACATCTTATTCTGTCCTTTGCTGGTTTGCAAGCTGTCATTCTGGGGTCCATGAGCACCCACACAGCTGTTTCTGTGGGTTTCCCCAGCATGTTTTTCACCCCTTTACTCATCACTTCTACTTCTCTAAAACTGGATTCCAGCAATTTGGCTCAGTGCCTAGCTGTGGGTCTCTGCTTCTGTTTCCATCAGCTACTGGATAAAGGCCCTATTTATTATAGCATATAAGGTAGTCATCAATCTCTGTGTTTTTGAGGACAACCTGGCCTACAGAGCTAGTTCCAGTACAGGCTCCAAAGCAATACAGAGACTCCCTGTCTTGAAAAAGTATATTAGTCATCAATATCATTATAGGGTAAGGGCATTTAAGATAGCCTCAGGAGCCATTGCTCCTTATGGTTTACACATGAATTTTACAATATTTGTTACATGCTCAAACATGCTCAAACATGCATGTTTTAGAGCTATCTCATAATGCAAATGGCTCTCACACATTCTGCTGGTAAGAATAATTCCCCATTTACTGGACACTATTCCGAAATGAAACTCAACTTCTCTTCATTGTTTTTCTAATCAGTCTTACCATTAGGCAGTAGTATTTAATATCCTCTTTATTGGTAGGACAAGATTATATTGACAGGATCAAGCAGGAGATTAGTTCCCTCTGCAGTATGTACTTCCCAGAGGAATATTCACCCTCATTAAGATGGAAAACTCTTAAAGCTGTGTTGACTTCTGAGTTAAAAAATAAGGAGAAAAGAAAGACCCTCTGGAATCAAGGCTTAGCAGAGGGAAATATGTAGGACTCCCTTCTAAAGAAAGCTTTAACCTACACAGAGTGTTGTAAGGAAGTTCAATATTGTGGAGTGAATGAGAGAGAGAAGAAAAAGTAAAAAAATTGTACAATAATATAGTACTCATACATAACTATAATGGGAATTTCTAGGCAGTGTCAGAAGACACAGTGAACTAGCTTATATATGAGGAGACAAATTATTAAATTCAGTGGAGTGCTAATAATTTACTGTGTACAAAATAGTAGGCATGTTTTAGGAGCCAAAAATGACCTCGGAAAACCCTGGGAGAAAGACTCCATGTACTGGCAGAAGATGAAAAAAACTATTGTAGATGTTATCACCAAGACATTGAAACAGCTTAAAAGACACCTGCAGAAGAATCTATTTAATAAAGTCTTAATTTTAAAACCTGAAAATTATGATAAATAAGAAATTAAAGACAGTTATCACTAATATTTCAAAGGAATTTTAATGTAAATGTTTATCTCATTGATTGAAGGTTTTATTTAATCCACACTAGTCAAGTTACTTTACAGTTGTAAGTGATATCTTTCTCTTTGTGATTTATAGCTGTTTTTACTTTTAAAGTTTCACAAATATGTTAATTATTCAGGGACTTATCAATGCAAACTAAATTAAAGTTTTTGAAGATGATCTGTTTGATGTTAATACTTATTTTTTATAAATAAAATGGCATAGGAAAATCATGGTAACATGTCTGATCTTACACAGTTTCTCACTGACATGGTCCTGAATATTTATCAATTTCACTCTGTGTCAAGTACTTTTTTAAAAATCTTTATTTATTTATTTATTTATTTTTATTATTTTACATACCACTCCCAGTTTCCTTTCCCTCCCTCCTATGCCCCACCGACCACCCTCCCATCAAACCTCCCCCCCCCCACTCCACAGGGAGGGTGATACCTTCCAAAGGGGTCAACAAAATTTGTCAAGTCATTTGTAGTAGGGACTAGGCCCTCCCCTGCCTCTAGGTTAAGGGAGTATCCCTCCATGGGGAATGTGTCCCAAAAGTCCTTTTGTGCACCAGGGATACATTCTGGTTCCACTGTTAAAGGACACTTGTATCAAGCATTTTTAAAACTCAGTGCTTTGTTTTTTGGCTGGAAAGATGGCTCTGCAGTTAAAAGCACTTGGTTCTCTTTTTAGTCCTCGTAGTATATTCCTGGGCAGGGAATATACTTCAGAATATCTTAGTCCTAACAGTGGCCTAACAGTGGCCTACATGCACCTACATGAATTGTAGGTGAACCATGATATTCATTTTCTTGTAACTTTTTAAATATTGAACTATACAACACTGTAATTGAAACAATATCTGTCTAGAAAACAGTTCAGTCTTTAGTGTTTGCCAACATCCACAATACTGGCATGGATTTGAATGCTCCTTTGTAGAATAATACTGTGGTGCTTTCAATTGGTAGGAGGTTTAGAATCCAGTGTAGAGTCTTCTAGAAATATATGATGCTTTTCTGGCCTTTGACTGATTCTTAAAAATTATGAGTCAATATGTGAGTTTGACTCATGTCAATATGTGAGGAGTGTGAATGAGATAGAACAAATGATTGAATGACGTGTTTATTATACCAGTCTTTTAACTTTACATGGGTTTTCCCATTGCATGTTATTAAAGAGTAATGTTGAATAGAATTACCTTTTTAAAAGTATTTTGGACATGGACAAAAAAAAAAAATCAATTCAAAAACTCAATTCCTAACACTGGTTTTTATATTCATACTTCCAGCCATATTAGAAATTTAATGTTAATAATATGGGAAATATTGCATAGTTTTAAAATATTTTTGAATTCCAGATACATTTTATATCATTATTTTAGATAAACATAAAATTTGACATTGGGATCAGGATCATAGAGACCTTGTAGGAATTATTAGTGTCTTCTGGAATTGTGTCATAGTATATGATATGTATTATTCATTATTATATTATTATACATTATAGTCTATGTCATTTTGGTATTTTTTTGGAAGCATGGAATTTTTTACAATTACTGGTACTTTGCAAATAAAATTTGAACATAAATGAATTAACATAGAATATTAACATGTGAAAATGGAGTTTGTAAGAGTATTATATGTAATAAATATTGTTTAAAGCAATATATATCATTGTTTACTATTTTCTTATATAAATGATATTTACCCCATGTTAATTTTTAAAAATACATACCACAGTATAAACTCATTTTATAGTTTCATTTCCATGATTTTTTTTCCATTACATTTTATCATTATCTTTTAAAAATGTTACAGGTTCTAGAAAACATTTTGTGTTGATTTTTTTTTTGTTTCGAGTTTTAGTCAAATAATTATAGAATTATTTGTGACAAGATCAAGATCATTTTACAGCTTTTGTAATCTGATAAAGAGTCTTGATGCATTTGATTATTTCTTTGTTGATTTTTTTCATTATTGCATTATGTGATAGTCCTTCCTTTGTAACACATATACCCTCCAACTGTCCCAGCAAAACATAGCACAAAGCTTTTCTACTCACTGCTTTGGAAAGCATGTTATGAAACCATCTTTTATGGAAGGGTTTATGTCTGTCAGGCTAGTAACAAATGACAGCAAAGTGAGGCACAAAGGCAGCTTCAGAACATGCTGGTAGATTATAACTGGCATCGTGCTTCAGGGCCAGCTCCTATAGCCAAAACCTGAATGCTCAGATGCTGTAAAATTGTTCTCCATGATCTGATAGTGTTTACACAGTTATTTACAGAGTTATTTGCAGTATAACACACTGGGAATGTATGCTAGGATTTTATATTTCTTACTTTATTCCAGAATGGTTATAATATAATGTAGGCAAGTTCAAATTTTATGAATAATCTATATTGATTAGTTTCTGTGTACACACAAGCTATGTGGGATTATGCAAAGGTAAGACACAATATATGTGTGGTTATTTTAAAGCCCTGAGAAATGATTAAATTATAAATGTTTCCAATATGAAGGAGAAAGTTAAAGAAAAACTAAAAACAATATTTCTAGACAATCACCTTTGTTTCATACTCTTCTCTGACATAAACATTTACTTTCCTATTATGACCATCTATTTATATATACATACTTGATTATGTACAGATATTTATATACTTATATATTTCTGCACTCTTGGAGTACTTATTTAATCCACGTTATTTGATGATATAGATGTTATCTGAATAAATATTTCAAGTACATTTCTCAAAACAGATACAGGATCTGGGTGCACACAACTATTTTCTGGCACTCAAAGGAAAAAAACCAGAGATAGACACAATGAGATTGAGGCCAGCCTAGTCAACATAGTGAGACTTTATCTCCAAAACAAAACAACACAAAACCAGATACTCTGAAATAATTATAAAAGCTCATTATGACTATGTATGAAATGTGCCTGTTTCATAAGGTTGAGACCCGGGAGCTGAATTTCCCCACCTCAAAAAGGTCAGGCTTGGCAGTATGCACATCTGTAAACACAACACTCTCTTGGAGAGAGACAGAGAGAGGCAATTTGTAACATCTCCTAGACAAGATTTCCTGACATATATGTTGCATAAATACTACAGAACAGCCTACCTCAAATGAAGCAAATGAAGTGTAAGGCAAGGAGAACCAGCATCTGGGATTGTTGCAACATTCACACATGCACTGTTACATGCATCCTTGTATTAAGACACATTACTGCCAACACAAACCTGTGTGTGTGTGTGTGTGTGTGTGTGTGTATGTGTGTATCCCAACATAAAGATTACAAAGTAATTATAAACTATCAAAGATACCTATTGTTCTTAGTTATTTAAACCAAATATAATATAGTTTTGCTTATTAATATAGTAAATGAAAGTTATTATTTCGATCACATAGAATATTACAAATAGTTTAAGCAGAAAAACAAATATTTGTTCAAACTTATTAATGCGCAAGGTATTTAATCAATTATTCAATGGATGCATTGTTATGACATGGCCTATAATTTACATAATGGTTTATTTTCCATTGAAATGGTAACTTGGAAGTAGTTTTATGTTATTTCATGTTCACTCCTGCTATCATCTAATTGAAAATTTAAAATCCGAGAAGTTTATCAGCTCATCTCCTCAGCTGATGGAGTCTCTTGTAGGGTATCTAATTGCCTGTGTATTCTGTCTAGGTGTTGAGGGAAAGCTGAGAGGATGAAGACTCTAAATCCCCAGTGGAAGCATGATATGGCGAAGCAGAGCTGGTACTGAATTGTCCTCTCTGATGGCTCTATGGGAGTGGATAGTACTGAGTCTTCATTGCTGGGTTTTAGCGGTTGCTGCTGTCTCTGACCAGCATGCCACAAGCCCCTTCGACTGGCTCCTCTCTGATAAGGGACCCTTCCATCGCTCACAGGAGTACACAGATTTTGTGGACAGAAGCCGACAGGGATTTAGCACAAGATACAAGATATACAGGTAAGAAGGAAAAGCAATTGCAGATATATTACTTGGAGGTTGTGTGTAAATAAGGGTTGTTCCCATGGAAAGTGTAAGAATGGCTATCATTGACCAAAACCCCACAGTGATGTATTCTTGCTATCTAAAATTATTTCTTGTAGATGTGACATATTATTAGAAAAATGGGTAACTGGTTGTGTGACTCTCTCAATTATGAGAATACAAGCTAGTGTTCTTGAAGGCTTTTTTTTTTTTTTAAATTGTGAATGTACATGCTTAAAATTGCTTTTAGAAATATATCAGTTGATTGAATCCTTCATCCACCCTAACTGGGAATGCCACCTTCTACTAGTCATTGAGAAGTTTTGCCAAATCATGCTCTTTTACAAGAATGTAATTGTATATTCTTAAGCTTGGACTATAAAGGAACTCCAGAGAGATGGACATAATAACAAATAACCCAAAGAGGATTAATATATGTGGCTACTAACTTTTATCATTTCTACAAACCTGAAATCTAAGTAAGGTCTTCAAATGAAGCCATATATTAAAATCATCAAAAGATGTTTATTCCCACAGAGCTCAGAAATTACATTAAAAACATCATTGTACAAGGAGTCACTTCAATCTTTGTCATTAAGAATGTTTATACAAATTATTGCTTTGGATTGTTTCTTTGAGGCATAGTTGGCAACTCCCAGTTGTTCGCATTTATAAAGAATCAAACTTTACTTACTATGTTTGTGTCTGTGATTATGTTATACAAATATTTTATTTTATGCATTATGTGCACCAGAGGGCACTGTGCTTCAGGTCTGTACATAGTCTTTTAGATAGCATTATGAGAAATTTATAAATTTTATCTGTAGCCCATATTCACAAGTTCCATTCATTGCTGTACTTCCAAAAAATAAGGTCAGTCTATGCAAAGTGCTATGATGTCTACAAAGTAGAAAAAAATGTCATTCTAAGATTTCAAATGAAGTAGCAAATATGAAGAATTTTCTGCCTAAATTTGTCAGAGATAAAAAGGGTATGAGATTTCTGGTCATGCTTTGTTGTGCATCTTTGCTTGATTAAGAATCCTCTCTTCAGAGTCTTACTAAAAATGCTTGACTTTAAGACTGTTGGAATGTCTAAGATTTCAGCTGTGCAGACTTCTAACAGGCAGCAGGCAGGCGATACCACAGAATTTGCCTGTGTTATGCTGGTGTTTGTTTCTCTCTGGATAAGGGAGGTGTCTTATGCATCTGCTTTGGTGGCTTGGCCAATTAGCCAATCACATATGAATAGCAGAGTGGTTCCATATGTTTCTTCAGGTTTTGAGTTGAATCAAAATCAGTATTTGGGTAACAACATTAAAAAGTATGAAAGAAATAAAACATTTGGAAACTTAGAGATTCTCTGCAGAGCTCATCTACTGATTGGTTTTAAAACTATTTTCATTATTCTTTCTCATGTGTTCACTTTGTAGCTTGAATAACATAATGAGGTGCTAAGTAGATTTAAAAATGAAGGTTTAAGATTGGCCTACTTCTGAGCTGGGCTAGAGCACTTTAAAAGCATTTGTGCCTTTCTAACAAAGCAATGGTCATTGATCAGTCTGTGAAATGAATAATATAACCTACTATTAGAGTTCTTCAGTGTTGGTGGAAGAGATATTTGATTTGTCTAACCAGCATTTAAGTACAATGATTGCTATCTACCTTCCCATACAGTGTAATGGATACAAAAGTTTATTTTGAAAAAATTGACTGCATTTTTGAAAGGGTAGGAATGTTAGACTTCGGTATTAGAATAACTTTGTAGGGGATGTTCTTAGTTTTGTGTTTTATTTATCTTCAAAAATAAATTTTAGATGCAAAGCAGTAGTGGCATGTGCCTTTCTTTAATCCTAGCTCTCATGAGACAGAACAGTCAGATTTCTCAGTCTGAGGCCAGCCTGGTATACAAAGCAAGATCTAGGACAGCCAGGGCTACACAGAAAAATCTTTTCTCAATAGAGAAAATAAGTTTCACCTTTTTTTTTAAATTTTACTTGTCGATCCCAGTTCCCTCTCCCTCCCAGTAGCGCAATGGATAACACTTGTGACTATGGATCAGAGGATTCAACTTTTTTTTTAATTTTTGCATATATTTGCCTTAAGTACTGATATGGAAAATATGAATATTTAAGACAGATGGAAATTAATATATTACACATTATCTACTTGGTTTATCATCTTAAAGACCATATGATTTCCTAAAGTAATTAGCCAGATCTACTATTGCCTAAAACCTCCATAAATTCCTTCATGTGGCATATTATATTGCCAAATCTTCTGGAAGGCATTAGCTCTGAATTTAGAACATATTAAGCATGTTAACATAATTAGGTCAAATCTCTTTCACTTGTCTTTCTTCATCCCATCTGTTTTTCTGGAGGCATATCTTCTCTTTCACTTCAAATATTAGAACAAGATGAGATTATTAAAGATCACTGGTCTCACAGCCAAAGAGCAATAAACAATTGTTTTCTCTCCTTTCATAAAGGTATATTTTTGTCAACTAAAAGGGTAGCCACCAGTATTTTTTTTTTTTTTTGTTTTGAAAAAAGCACACATTAAGTACCATCAAACTTTTTATCTGGAATTAGGGGAGTGATGCCTCATACAAGATATGCAAAACTCTCTGTGTTGAAGTACTCTCTTTAGTATGTATTCAGTCTGTAACTACCTTCCCTTTGCCAAGCTGGAAATATAATTTCACAAGTGTAAAATGGTAGATATTTGTCTGAGAAATATTTCCTCTGCAAAATTGTGACATATTTGACTATAAACACATTTGCTATTTATTATTACATTCTAACTGAACTCTTTGTTGGTTCTGTTGTTTACTAATATGGCAGTCTAAGCAAAAGTGCATAATAACTGATACTGGGCATTCTTATGAATGACTCCAGGAACTGTCTATGGCTCAGAATCTGCAGTATGTAGAATATGAGTGTAGATGATTCTCTTATTTAGTTGCATGTTAAAACTGGAGTTGTAAACTATCATTCATGCTTATATGATTTTGAAATAGAAACAAGGATATTTAAAGAGAAAGTAGGAGCTTGTGGAGAGATGTCTCAGAGGATAAAGATTTTGAAAGCTTTCACAGTGGACTAAGAGTCAATTCCTAACACTCATCTGGGTCACAACCATCCATACCTCCAGTGCAGGGCATCTAATGACACTTTATGACCTCTGTGGTCATCACAATGGCATGTGACAGATAGGTAAAATATAGGCAAAATGCCCATAAAACATACAAATTAAAAATAAATGAACCTTAAAAATAATGAAACTGAAGTAATAAAGCAAGTAACACTGGAGAAATGTTTGCCCATGAAACATAAAATAAGAATAAAGTTATTTATGTCTTAATTAGTAGTAGGAGCATATATTTATAGTTACATGGTAAAATGTTGACAAGGCTCAGATGCTGATGTTTGATAATTAGAGTTTGTAATCACAATACAGATGTTGCAAATAAACATTACAGGATTTAGGATAAATATGATAGTTTCCAAAGTGAATTAATTCTTCTTTTGAACTGTCTCCAAATTTAATATATACAGTTTATTATGTATAGGCTTACATAGATTGTAAAGAAAAGATCAGTTCTTTCGTATGGCTTTTGTCCCATTACATTTTTCAATTATGAATCCATTTTTACATATAAGTAAAATTTTGTTAATTGATAGTTGTATATAAATCTTACATCATACATGTGATTATTTTACTAAAATATTGAATTGATGGCATAATGTATAAAACAGAATTAAAATAATCCACATGTTGCTTGAACTCATATTTAATGAACTGTTTTAAGCAAAAATTTTGTCACATTTATAGAAAAAATAGTAAATCTCCATGAATAACTGATTATATTTTTTGGCATGTAATATTCTGATATTTGGAAATGCATCCATTGATTTAATTTCTGTTTTTCTGTGTTAAATACATATTGGTAGATTTTACTAGGTAAATATATTTTTCAGAACAGTAAATTACATTGTTCTCAGTGATCTAAAAGAAGCTGTACTTGCTTATAGTCTACATACCATGCATAATATATAAAAGTATTATTTATGGAGAAGTTAAGCAAGGTAAAGGTAATATCACAAAAATCTTGGAATTATAAAGACAGCATTTATTGAAGAGCTTCTACAAGAAATTATATACATTAATGTAAAAAATCATGGATATTCATGATTTAATATCTTAAATGTTAAACCTTGATATAATCATTTAACATCTTCTATGAAATAGTAAATACAGGTGATATAATTAAACTCAGAAAATCAAGTTGGATACTGAAATGAATGTCAAGACAGGGAAGAAATAATGCTAGTTTGGTATATATTTTAGTATTAACATAGTTATCTTAAGCATCTGGTCAAGAGTGGCATTCACATCAAATACAGGAGGCATCATCATCATTTTTCAGCCACCAACATGCTCACAAAAGCTGCTGGGTGCTTCTTTCAAGAAGGCACCCTGCCCTTGACTCTGAACCTAATTTGTGTTGAAGCCACACTGCCATGGCCTCTTCCCCAAAAATTTAGAACTATCTGAGAAATATGCCATATATAACATTGTGATATATTTTAATGTTAAAATGTCTTTATATTTTAATTGATTCTCTTTTTTTGCCATTATCTTCATGTGTTAAATCCCAAAAGTCTAGGAGAAAATATATGAGTAATGATAGTGAGAATCCTTTCTTTTTTTGTTCGCTTGTTGCTATTATCTGGTTTTGTTTTTGAGACACGGTTTTTCTGTATAGTACGGGCTGTCCTGGATCTTACTTTGTAGACCAGGCTGGCTTTGAAGTCAGAGTTCTAGCTGCCTCTGCCTCCCCAGTGTTGGGACTAAGGGTATGTGGCACCAATACCTGATGTGAATTATTTCTTAATGATAAGGAATTTCAGGAGGCAAATAGGATTAAAATCCAGGAATAAATCCCCATGAATTACTTCATAAAATTTCTGA